TCAACACTGGACACCTGTACTGGTTTTTGGTGGTAACGTGTTCCTGGTCCCGCATGGTATTATTTGACAGGGATGATGGCCCTGGCAGGTGCGCAACCGTTGTTGGAGAAGTTCGAAGCACGTGAAAAAGTTGCTCGCAAAAGCCCGTTTGACAGAAATGTTTAAAAAGTGTTGGGTTTCCTACAAATCCGCAAGAGCGCGCGGGATGAAATGTTGACATTTTTTTTTGAAAAACCATTGGTTTTTTGATGTTTTTATGTTAAAATCGCTACGAAAACTAAGGTTTTGGAAGGATTTCGTCTTGCGCGAGCGAATGTCCACTTTACCTTATTTTTTGCAAGGGATTCTTGAAGTTTGGTTATGTTAGAACAAGAAATGTCCACTTTGCCTTATTATTTGCAAGGGAAAACCGCCCGTAACAAAACAACCGGATCCGGACCAACCCGTTTTGCCGGAGACTTCCTCACGAAAATGATGAAAACATGGCTGCGGCCTAGGCGCGGCGAGGGGGCCGTGCACCAGGGGTCCCAACAACAATTATTCTTTAGAAGTAATAATGTTCAACAACAACAACAACAACAACAACAACAATCACTTTACCCGAACGCTCAGTGTTCTCACCAGTGCCAGGGTTTCATGCGACGCCAGCCAATACCCCCACTTTGTGGGGGGGCAGTGCAAGCTCTACCAAATATCCACACGACTCTTCGCCACCACCCACACCCAGCTTCCCGCCCTATGACGTTCGGACACTTCACTTCGTGGCCTGCGGACGACCGTGGCTACTACACTGGCGTGGAGTACACACCACAGAAGTTGTTAAGCCTACGTTCGTACACCCACAGAAGTTCTTAAGCCTTGTTAACCCACAGAAGTTGTTAAGCCTTCCACAGAACATCCGAGGGCGCAACCTATGGCGCAACCGCAAGGGATTGTGGCCCCTGGCAGGCGCGCGAACCCCGTTGCAAGAGCGTGCGAAAGTAGCTCGCGCGAGCTCATGTAACATAAATGTTGGAAAACCATTGGTTTTTTAGGATTCGGACAGCGCGCGCGGGTGGAAATTTTGAAAAGTCGTGCAGGTGTTTTTCGAGGACCTACGGTGCGATTCGTGTGATTTTATGATGCGCGGTGCTAAAATTCTTAAGAAGCCCAATGGTTTTGGAGATTTCGGCGTGCGCGCGCGAAGAAAAAACGAATGTGTCCCGCATGGTATTATTTGACAGGGATGATGGCCCTGGCAGGTGCGCAACCGTTGTCGCAGAAGTTCGAAAAAGTTGCTCGCAAAAGCCCGTTTGACAGAATTGTTTAAAAAGTGTTGGTTTTCCTACGAATCCGCAAGAGCGCGCGGAAGACATTTTGACAATTTTTTCTTAAAAAACCATTGGGTTTTTGATGTTTTTATGTTAAAATCGCTACGAAACCTAAGGTTTTGGAAGGATTTCGTCTTGCGCGCGCGAATGTCCACTTTACCTTATTTTTTGCAAGGGATTCTTGAAATTTGTATATTAGAACAAGAAATGTCATTTTCTATTGTTTTTTGCAAGGGAAAGCGGATTACAACAAAAAACCGGATCCTGTACACACCTCTTTTCTGAGGCTTCCTCACGAAAATGATGAAAATGTAGCTGCGGCCTAGGCGGCGCAGGGGGGGCGCGCACCAGGGGGCCCAACAATAATTATTCTTTAGAATAAATAATGTTCAACAACAACAACAACAACAACAAAACAACAAGCCCAAGCGACAACCGTTGATTTCCCGACAGCCTTCACGCCGAGCACAAGGAAAAATGGGCCTCTCCAAGCGAACGGCTACGGAGAGCAGTCTCCGGCAGCACCAGGGGGGGGAGGAGGAGGAGGAGGAGGAGGAGGAGGAGGAGGAGGAGGAGGAGGAGGCAAAGAAGGAGGAGGAGGCGGAGGAGCAGGAGGAGGAGGAGGAGGAGGAGGAGGAGGAGGAGGAGGAGGAGGAGGAAGGGGGGGAGGCGATGGACGGAAACAAAGCAGCGCAATTGCACGAGATGGCATTCGTGAAACGACCAGCGGCCCACCTCTGGCCCCAGAGAACACGATCGTGGCAGATACCCAGAATCACGGCGTGGAAATTAACATTCGCTATGCCTCCTTGGACTTGTTGAACAGCATGCACAAGGAGAGCGAGAAGCACACTGCCAAGCAGAAGGGCTCCACAATGTGGCGACGATGCGTCGTCATGGCGTGTCCCTGCCCGCCGCTTCCGTCATTGCCTGCGCCCACGCTTCGCTCGCTTCTGTCACTCGCCCATGCCGTGCGGCACGTTGGCTTTGAAGATGGCGTACAAACGAAAAGCTCCGTCAGTCGGGCGGAGTCGCAGCGCACACGGACAAGGAGAAAATCCCCCACGCGATCCTCGGCCGGCACCCGCGCCAGTCGAGGCCGGGTCCGTGACAGTCCCTCCTCTTGCGCGCGCCCGGCGTACTGCCGGACGGTGCGCCGACCCGGCCCTGCAGCCGAAACAGGAGCGTGGCTCGAGCGAACTGGGGCCAGTTGGCGTCCGCCCACCCATCATGGCCTGAGGTCGGGCATGTCCCCCTTACGGGCCGATGTTGGACGAAAAAAAAAAGTGGCAGAACGTGCTCCAAAATAGCCAAACCATGCCCAAACAATCCTCCCCGGACCATTGTTTACTATTTTTTCGAATATTCCTCCTGTAGAGGGACAGGCCCGACTTACTCCTGGCCGTCAGGGGCGCCGCCGACGCGCACAGGGGCACCAGGGGGCCCGAGGTGCTGGAGCACAGCTCCAAGGCGCCCGACACCGTGGCCGGGGAGGAGCGGGACGCACCACTGCTCAAGCCTTCGGCTCAAGTGTGTCGGTGAATGGTGGAATTAAGCCGGGCCTGTCCGCCTACAGGCCGATCTGGGACGAAAAATAGAGATTGCCAAAAAATATTCACACAAATCGTCACCAGACTATTTTTGAGCTATTTTTTGATATTCCTCCTGTAGAGGGACGTACCCGACTTAGTGGTAGAAGAGTCTGGCAGCCGAAGGATCTGGCAACATCTCCTCTGCCACCGTGCTCTTGCCACTGGAGTGGGCGAGACGCCCTGCGTGCACTTGTCCACGCTCTTGTGCCCCACAGAGAGCAGGAGTGGCCAACCGCTGTTGCCCCTTCCGATGGTCGTTGCAAAACATCCCGCCAAGCATGGGACCCACACAGCGATCCGATCTTGGAACAGAAAAAAGACCTGCCCTGCAGAGAGGCGCTGAAGACCCCCAACTGGTAGACCCTGCACTTGGCGCCGATTGCCGAGACCTCCAGGCCTGGTATCTCCGCGGGGACGCCGAAGCTTCGCACATTCGCCAGGGGGATGTCCAGCCTCGGGCACCGGGAACAGCGTGTTTACCAAACGCAGTTCCTCCTGCCGCCAGGTTGGCGGAAGCTCCTCCAGCTGCAATAGGGAACAGGCCAGCGGGAGAATGTACGTGCGCAGCGCGGAGAAGGTAAAGAACATGCCGCCGCCGATCCTCTTCCACACCCGAGCCCTTTTCGCCCATTTTTCCGATCGCGTCGTTCCAAGCCTGGGCGCCGCGAGTCGGGCCGAGGAGGAAGCCGAAGTATCTGGTGTTTCCAGCGATGCTGAATGCGCCCCAAGCGCGAGCGTCTGCGGCGACGATGGCCCTGATCTCATCGCTCCCACGCGTGGACAGGGGGGCAGTCACGGATTTCCGGGCGTGGAGAGCTGACGAGCCTCCGGCAAGCGTTTCAGGACGGCGAAAGGCGCCGAACCCGTCGGAGTATGACTTCTGATACGATGGAGCAAAACAGCGGCGAGAGGGGGCAGCCTTGCCGCTCCCCCGCCGTAGCCCCGAATCCAAGCCCCGTGGCGCCGCAGAGGGACAACACGCACGTGTTTGCTGTCGTACAGTGCATACATGGACCGCAGCACTCAGATGGGCCACCCCCGCGCTTCCAAGACGCACTGGATGAACTCCTAGCTGAGTCTGGGTAACGCGGCCTCGAAGTCCAGAGAGATGGCCGATGGATTTTGCCGGGAGAGGGCCGAGTCCAGCATTGCCTCCTCGACGTCCAACACGTTGGCGAGCATTGAGCGCCCACTCAGGAACCCACGCCGCTCGCGAGAGATCCTGGGGACAAAGACGGGCTCTATATATGCAAGCGCACGGCGCTGCATGGGGATCGTGCTGTCGAATTGACATCAGGGAGCAAGCCAGAGCATATGCAGTCGCATCGATAGCCGGGGAGAGGAAGGCAGAGAAGAGGGAGGGGGGCGGGGAGTGACAGGGAGGGAGGAAGCAACAAGGGGGAGGGAGTGGTGAGCGAGGGAGCAGCCCCACAGTCCTTGCCTGGCACAAAGGGCTGCAGCCCCGACAACGGCTGCACCTGCTCTTGGGATGATCTACAGGACGAGAGCCGTATCAAAATGCGACTCGCTCGATTGGCTCAGAGTACGTTCTGGGACTTGCTGAGCGGTCCTTGGCCATTCGTGTTCGGCCCGCTCGTCCCTGGCCGTGCGGGACCACAAGAAAACTCAAACAACTTGGAGCACATCATTACCTCGGGGCGTCCGAGAGGGGGCATCCAAAAGGGAACTGCGCAAATTGTGGCCCGAGGCAAGTGCGTGGACGAGGATGAGACCAAAGGACACATTGAAAGCAGAAACGGGGCCTTGACAACCGGGGGAGATGTCATGGGTGAGATTCCCCCTTTTAGTCACCACCCCTCTCTTGTCCGCCCCCGAAACATGATCATCACTTCTGGCCCCTCTGGGGGACCGCGCGTACAGATTCTTCAGGTATCTGGGCCCTGTCCCATGGGACTTCGCAGAAACGCCGCACAACAAAACATGGTGTAGAATGTTATGACTAGTTGTCCGGGCGACAGGCGCAGAACAAAAACATCTGCACTGTGCTTGGGCCGCCGTTTGCTACGTAGTGGAAGACAAACACAACATGCCACGGTGGTCACGTTCCTGGACACGACCTCTGATCTGCAGCCCAGTCCTCCGACGGCGCCCCAGCCCTGCTTGACGAGGGAGTAGTTCATGTCCGCGGCGGCGTCGGGCCTGACGATGATGGCCCAGCCGAAGCCTCCACGGGGGGTGGGGGGTTCGCGGGCTATTGCGCTCGCGCGCGCAACCCTGGCGGGGGAGGAGCTCCTCGAAAGCGGCGCTAAGCCTGCAGAAGAGTCGAGGGCGGGCATGGCCCTGCAGGGGGCAGTGGCGGAGAGTGGGGAGAAAAAAGCCCCGTTGCTTCACAATGTTGTCTGTGTGTTGCTCCGCACTTGCTGCCCTGTCGGCTGGAGTCATCGGCACGTCTGGGAAACAAGCGTGTGCGCTGAGCCCTCACTCGCTTTGGCTCTGCCTCCGCGCCCCCTCGTATTCTGAGGCCTCGCTGCTTGCAGCTGAGCTTCTTTCGCTTTCGCAGGGGTGCCTTTGCCACTTATACTGGCCGGATGTACACCCGGATCACGTTGGATGGCCCTGGCTTGAGTGCGATCGGACCACGTGCGACTGCCTTGGGGGCTCACGCGTCCCGTCAGCGGAGAATGGGACTCATGCCTCTCAGCCGCGGATTGAAACTAATTTCGCACCTCCGTGGTAATACTAGTACGACGAGCACTACTACTACTACTACTACTACTACTACTACTACTACTACTACTACTACTACTACTACTACTACCACTACCACTACCACTACCACTACTACTACTACTACTACTAAGACGACGATTACTACGACAACTACTACCACTACCACTACGTACTACTTACTACGACGATCTGTTACTACTTACTTCTACACTTCTACTACTACACTACTA